GAGTGAATGGAATAGAGAGTGAGAGTTTTTATACAAATAGAGGAGTGAGACAAGGATGCCCACTCAGCCCCGCATTGTTTGCAGCTTATCTAGGAGATATAGATGAAATGTTCAGAAAAGCACAGACAGGAGGGGTGGTAGTCGGCAAAGAGAAAGTGTGGTCGTTGGCGTACGCAGATGATTTGGTGATTGTGGCAAAGAAAAGAGAAGAAATGAAAGCAATGATTAAAAGTTTGGAGAAGTATGTAAAAAAAAAGGAATTGGAAGTGAATGTGGAAAAAACAAAAATGGTGGTGTTTGGGAAGAAAGTAAGAAAGGAGAAGGAAGAGTGGGCATGGAAAGGGAAGAAGATTGAACAGGTGAAAGAATTCCAGTACTTAGGATATACATTAAAGAGCAATAACTCAGATAGAGCACATATTCAAGAAATGGTCCAAAAAGTGAACAAAGTGGTAGGAATAGTATGGGGAATAGGAGAGAGAAAATTTGGACATGATTATAAGAGAAGAATAATGATGTTTGATAGTTTGGTCAAAAGTGTATTCATGTACGGAGCTGAGATTTGGGGATGGAGGGAATATGAAAAAATAGAGAGAGTGCAAGAAAAATACTTGAAATGGACATTGGGATTGGAAAAGTATACGCCGGGGTATATAGTGAGAGAAGAAACAAAAAGGGAGAAAATGGGAGTGGAAGCGGGTAAAAGGGCGGTTGGATTTGAAGAGAAGTTCAGTGAGAGAGGTGATTGCAAGATATTGCAAGAATGTTGGAAAGAAATAAGAAAGGAAGGGGGAAAACATGTTTGGATCGAAAGGGACAAGTATTATGAAGGAAAGGGATATGCATGTGAAGAAATAGGGAGAATGAGAGAAATGGGAAGGAGTATGAAAGAAGAACTGAGTGTAAGAGATAAGGATATAGATAAGCAAGAACATAGATCGAGAATATCGGAGTCTAGATATAATGCAGACTATAGAAAAATAGTAAAGGATGAAGTACCAAAGTACACAGAGAGAGAGAGAGTATAAAGGAGAAAAGAATGATGGCGAGATTTAGCTGTGGAAATGAAGAGAAAGAGAATAATTTCTGGATGGATGAAACTGACAGAAGGTGTAGGATATGTTGGAGAGAGGGAGAAACAATAGAGCATATGCTGGAAGGATGTGAAGGATTGAGAGAATCTGAGGAAAGTAGGGAAGAAGTGCTAAATGAGGATGGAAGAGGACTGGACTGGATGAAAGAAGTATGGAAGATAAGGGAACTATGGCAAAAGGTGGACAAGCAGAAAGAATTGAATATTTATTATATAACACTCGAATTTTTATTTTATTTTATTTATTTTATTGTTACTGATTTATTTGAGGTATATTAATTTAATTTGTGCCCCTACTGGGAATATTATTAAGCCTGTAAGGCAAATAATAAATTAATACTACTACGAGTATTCATAGTTTACCAATTTAGATACTTGAATGAATTGGAGCCATTGTAACTATTTCATCTTAAACCTAGCTAAATGTTATCTTATCTCCTTCACACGTAATAGTAATCGCATTGATTCGTCGTATTCCATTGTTTTAACACCGCTAATGAGAAAAAATAGTATTAAAGACTTAGGAGTCATTTTCGATTCTAAGCTTACATTTAATCTCCACTTCTAAGAAACCGGTAACATCGCTAACAAAATGCTGGGATTTATTATGAGAATCTCCAAATATATATTTTAGCAGTATTGAGAAAAAGTAGAAAACTATAGAGGAATTACGTTGTTGAATACAACTTACAAGATCTACAGTTCCATTTTACAACATAAGTTGGAAAGGGATATAGAGGAAAAACAACTGCTACCAGAGGTGCAAATGGGATTTAGAAAGGGAAGAGGAACAATCGAATGCATAGCGACCCTGGATCACATAGTAAGGAGGGAATTAAACGAAAAAGGAGGAAAGGTATACGCGCTCTTTGTAGATTTGAAAGCGGCTTTTGATATGGTTAATAGGGAAAGACTATGACAGATAATGAAAGACATGGGCATCAGTAAAACACTAATAGAGAGAATTAGAGAAATCTACAGAGAGACAGAAAATAGAATCAGAGTTAATGGAGAAACGTCGATGAATTTCTGGACGAAGAAAGGAGTTAGGCAAGGATGTCCATTAAGTCCAACGCTCTTTTCCTTGTATATAGCAAAATTAGAAGAAAATCTTAGGAAGGCACAGATGGGAGGGGTCACTTTAGGGAAAACAAAAATCTGGTCACTACAGTATGCAGACGATATCGTCCTACTGGCAAAAACGGGTAAAGAAATAAGAGAGATGATGAAAACCCTACAAACATTTGTAAGAAGGAGAGAACTGCAAATGAATGTAGAAAAAACGAAAATGATGGTTTTCAGAAAGGCGGTAGGGAGAAGTAAGAAAGAGGTTTGGCAATGGGAAGAAAAGACGATAGAAGAAGTAGCGACGTTTAAATATTTAGGGTATACATTTCAAAGAAATGGAAGAAGAACCCAACATTTGGAAAATACAGTAAAGAAGGCAAATAGATTGTTGAAGGCGGTATGGGGACTGGCAGAGAGAAGGTTGAAGAACGATTTCGTTAGAAGAATATGGCTCTTCGACAGCTTAATAAAAAGTGTTATTATGTACGGTGCTGAAATCTGGGGATGGAAGGAAAGGGAGAGTCTAGAACGAGTACAGGCAAAGTATTTGAAATGGACGTTAGGGTTGGAAAAAGAGACACCAGAGTACATTGTATTAGAGGAAACGAAGAGAGAAAAACTAAGAATAGAAGCAGCACGAAGGGCAATGAAATTTGAAGAGAAGATCAGGCAGAACGTTGAATGCAAACTAATGAAAGAAATGTGGGAAGAGATAAGGGTAAATTATAAGAAGACAGCGGAAGAAAGAAGAGAATTTTACGAAGTAAGAGGTCTAACGGCAGAAGAAGTAGAGAGAAAAAGGATAGAGGGAGCAGAGCCCAGGAAGGAAATTTTAAATCTAGATGAAGAGTTACAAAGAAAAGAGCAAAGAAAAAAAATAGCAGAGTCCAGATATAATCCAAAATATGGAGAAATAATAGGAGGTCTAAAATTACCGGAGTATCTAATAAGAGGGAGAAAGAATGAAGACAGAAAGACAATAGCCAGATTTAGGGTGGGAAATGAAGAAGGAGAAAACTGTTACTGGAAAGAGGAAGAGGATAGAAGATGCGGATTATGTAGGGAATTTCCGGAGACGATTGAACACTGGCTAAAGGATTGTGAAGAGTTACGGGAAGTCGAGAAAGATAGGAATGAGCTATTGAACGAAACAGGTGATGGTCTGGAATGGATGAAAATGATATTAGAAAAGAAACGAAAATAAGGAAGCATTTCGAGAAAGAATATTAGTTTAAGTTAAAATATGTTTAATTGATATATATTTGTACATATATAGATATATTAAGGGAAAAATGTAAACCGGACTTCTTTCAAGTCCCGAATGGGAAAGAAATAAACAGTTACATACATACATACATACTTGAATGAATTGGAGCCATTGTAACTATTTCATCTTAAACCTAGCTAAATGTTATCTTATCTCCTTCACACGTAATAGTAATCGCATTGATTCGTCGTACTCCATTGTTTTAACACCGCTAATGAGAAAAAATAGTATTAAAGACTTAGGAGTCATTTTCGATTCTAAGCTTACATTTAATCTCCACTTCTAAGAAACCGGTAACATCGCTAACAAAATGCTGGGATTTATTATGAGAATCTCCAAATATATATTTTAGCAGTATTGATGCGAAACTATTTTTTTTTCTCACATGTGCTCAGTAAAATGGAATACGCTTCCTTGGTATGGTACCCACTTTACATGACGCAGTACATGGTACTAGTCAAGATTCACCGAAAATTTTTTAAATATCTGTCTTATAAACTCGACGGAATTTACCCAGCGAGAGGAATTGCTATGGACAGTTGGCTAGTCCGACACAACATCCTGTTGGACAATAAAGGATTAATTAATTATTTAAGAAATTTTATTAATTAATTATTTAGAATTTTATTAATTAATTTAAGAAAGTGGAGTTGGAAAAATGGGCTCTTTTTTAAAAACAAACTACAGAAGACTGGAAAGGTGATGGAAATACCTCATATTAAAATCCTATTGGCATACATACCCGGTATCACAAAAGGCTTCAATATTTGGGACGGGCGATACTAAAGCACTCACAAATAATTGATGCAGCTCCCAAGGACTTAACTAACTTTACAGAAAGCAAGTCAAAGGTTCATATTTGAAGCAGATTTTCTCAGAAAAGATCAAATTTGGTCGAAATGTAAAAAGGACGTGAGTAGCTTACCAGTTACCATCAAAAACAACCTGGAATCTACCTATCTATGAGTAGCTTAAACATATCATTATAGAGAAAACATACGGGTTTATTTCAAAGGATGACTCGATTACAAATTTACTTGATTGTCACATATATTTAATTATAAACATAAATAATGGTCCAGATAGATAAAAAACCTATATTAGGAGACAATCACATTTTTCTGTTAGCGACAATATCTAATATTTATAAATACGATCAATCAATAAGATATAATAGTTGATACTAATTTCGAGGACAATAAAAATCCTTGAACATGATAAAAGTCATGGAATCCGATATTTTTTTGTCAAAGTTCATGACCCGACTTGCACGACGCCTTCAATAACTAAACCGACTTAAAAAAAGTTTAAGTCACACTTGTTTTAGGAAAAAATCAATTCAGAATTAAAAAAACCTAAGTTAGTATTTCAAGTGCTCTCCAAATTATGTAAGTTCTTGACCTTGGCACTAAATTAATAACAATACGACGGACATTCCTAAAATTTTGGAACGGGTTAAGTTTCATCAAACACAATGCCAACACAAAGTGATAACACAAGATAAATTATGTTCGCAATTTTTATCTTATCATCTTATCTAAATTAGTTACTAATTACCTTCGCAATAAATTATTTATATAGCGTTTGAAATTTCAGTACGCAACGATTTCTTTACGACGATGTTACCTATTATCTTATTTTCACTAATTATAGTTTCTGTCTCTCAGGTAAAGTAAATAATCAAAAACATACAAGCACAGACGAATAAAATTCTAAATCAATGCATTTACAGGCTTCGAAATGGGACACCCTTTCAGCAACCATCGCCGTCGTGGAGTTTGACCCAATCTATAGTGAAGTTCTCACAGACGATGAAAGAGTACAAGAGAACCTCCGCAAGTACACAGATATACTAAATGTTATAGTGGGCACAAACAATAAGGTAGTTTAAGAAAAAATTTGAAATTGTTTTCACTAGATTCTCCTAGACACTCGATATGATCATATTTCCGGAAGGAAGTCTTCGAGTTGTTCCTGAAACATCCGTTGAAATGGCAACAGGAGACAACCCCTCTTACGACTCCAAAGAATATCCAGATTATATGAAAACTTTATCTTCCATGGCAGTCAACTTTAGCACATATCTCGTCACTAACATAGTTGAAAAAGTGAAGTGTGATGACGCGTCTTCTAGTGATAGCGAAAATTGTAAGAACACTGGGTACTACTATTACAACACAGATGTGGTATTTGATAGAAATGGTACCATCATCAGTCGGTTTGTATTTCTGATAAGACGAACCAACAACTTATTTGTTGATTTTAGCTATCACAAGTACAACCTTTTTGGTGAGTACGCAGTGGACAGACCTGATGAACCACAAATAGAAACCTTTGAAACCGACTTTGGTGTCAAGTTCGGCATCTTCACTTGCTTTGATATTTTATTCAAAAGTCCAGCTCAACCCGTTTTGAATGAGAACATAGATGCCATCGTCTACCCCACCAACTGGCACTCAGAGCTGCCATTTTTAACCGGTTTGTTGATACTTCTCCACGAACTGTTTTTAAAACCGTCTTTGCAGCCCTTCAAAGTCAGCAGATGTTCGCTTATACTCACGAAATTATGTTGTTTGCTTCTGGTGGAAATCGACCAGCAGCGTCCAGTGGTGGAAGCGGAGTTCACAGAAGTACGACATATTTGCCAAATTTTGAAAATCTAACCCCGATTTTCAGGTACTCACGATACCATTTTGCACACAATTGTTGCTGAAGGAGGTTCTAAAACTTTAATATATGAAAGTGTGGACGGAACTGTGGTGGCTCCCGAAGTTCAGGACGTCGACGTTTTGGGTAAAGAAATGGACGCTTTCCCTCTATGGATAGATGACAGTCTTCAAAGTACTTCTCCTCGATGTAGAGTTACATAATTATCAACAATGTCTGCTTTTAGATTTCACGTGGACACCTATAAACACGACCCGTTCCCGAACCTTCGAAGATAAACTTTGTCATGGAAATGACACAGAAAACCCCTTCTGTTGTAACTTCAACATCACTTTGACTACAAGTGAAGAAACCGGTACTTCTTATTCTTACCTCCTGGTGGCTTTCTCAGGCCTTCGTCACTACCCCAACATCAGCGACGGTGGTCTTGAAATCTGTGGAGTCATCGCTTGCCTCAACTTTTCCATATCTTCGTGTGGCCAAAGATTTCCGAAATACGACGAAATTGTATGGCCTGTAACGTTTGAGGACATCACCATTACAGCTAGTTTCGAAGTCAATGATAATAAGACGCAGTTTCCCAATACTTTGTTGAGTTCAATTCGACCGATTAACGCGAATGAGACGGAATGGAGTGGCAAAAAAGTCGAAGAAGATGGGAAAACGGTGAACGAGAGGACGTTCGCTCTTAAGAAATCACAAAATCGGCTGTTGACTTTTGCTATTTATGGACGAGATTTCGGACAAGATGTGTTTCCAAGAGATGATAATGGTGATGATAATCATACAGGTGCTGCAAGTTCCATTTCAAGTACTTTGATAATGTTGAGTTGTTCTCTGGTCTTGTCTTTAATGCTACATATGTAAAATGTATGTACATAGTGGATGCATTTATCATACTACTCGTCTTAGGAGTATAACATAAAGTTTACTTGTCACATGTCATTAAATATTTATAACTATTTAGTTAGTGGATGTCTGGGTGAAATAAAATATTTTTCAATTCAAAAAAACATTGTCCAAATATCATTCTTTCAAAGAATATGAAGGAATCTTAAGGATCGCAGGTGTTTTCTTTTTGAAAGAGTTTGGAATAGCTTGGAGACCTCTCGTGTTTTGTTCTTGAAAGAATCTCAAAAGGGCTTGCAGGCTCCTGATGTCCTGTTTTTGAAACTGTTTGAAAGAATCTTAGAAGTTACAATCGATTTTTTTTTAAGAATGGGAGGGAACTCTAGGAGCCTTTGGCGTTTTGTTTTTGGAAGAGTTGGAAAGACTTTTGAAGGACTCTGGTACCTCTTTATTTAAAGATTGTGAAGCAATTTTGAGCGATCTTCGTGTATTTTTGTTTTTGAAAGAATTTAAAATATCTTGAAGGTTCCTAATGTTCTATTTTTGAAAGAATCTTAGCTGCTAGTGGATTTTTTAAAGAATGTGAAGGAATTTTAGGGACCGTTGGTGTTATTCATTTTTCTAAAGAATGTGAAGATATTTTAGGAGCTTCTGGTGCTTTTTTTGAAGGTTTGGATGTAAAGATATAAAATAATCTTCGAGACCTTTGGTGTTGTTTTTGAGAGAGTTTGAATGTTTTTAAGGGTCCTTAGTATCATTTTTTAGAAATGTAAAAGAATCTTTAGGGTCCCTTACATTTCCTCTAAGATTCTTCTTAAAAAAAACAGGGCTTCTAATGATTTTTTTTGTTTTTAAAAGAATTGGATAGAATCTTAGGGTCACTAAATGTAATTTTTACAAAGAACGTGAAGGAATCTTGACGACTCCTGATGTTTCATTTTTGAAAGTATATGAAAATATCTTGGGAACTTTTGGTGTTTTGTTCTTGAAAGAATTTGTAAAGATCTTGAAGACTTTTGAGGTTCTGTTTTTTAAAGAATTGGAAAGAATTGAAAGAAGAAGGATTTCGCAATTTCTTTTTTTAAAGAATGTGAAAGAATCTGAAAAGATCTTAGAGACCCCTGATACTTTGTTTTCTAAAGAGTTGGGAAGAATCTTAGAATCCCCAGGTGTATTTTTTTTAAAGAATGTCAAAAAGTTCTTACTGTTTTGTTTTTGAGAGAATTTACAGGATCTTGAAACAAGGGTTTTAAAAAATCCTAATCTACTAGTGTATTTTTTAAAGAATTTGAAAAAGATTTAGAAATCCTTTCGTTTTTATTTCTGAAAGAGTTTGAAAAAGTTTTTGAATGGCCCCTAGTGGCTCTTTATTTAAAGAGTGTGAAGGAATTTTGATAAATTCTGGTGATGTGGTTTTGAAATAGTTTGAAAGAACCTTATGGCCTCTAACTTCAATTCCTTTTTTTTAAGATGTAAAAGAATCTTTAGAGCCCCTTACGTTTAATTTTTTTGAATTGAAAAAACTTTGGTGGCTGCTGATGTGTTCTTTTCGTACTTTTAAAAAGAGTTGGGTTGAATCTTAAGATCCCCAAATCTCATTCTTTCAAAGAATATGAAGGAATCTTAGGGATCCCAAGTGTTTTCTTTTTGAAAGATATTGAAAAATCTTGGGAACCTCTCGTGTTTTGTTTTTGAAAGATTTTCAAAAGGTCTTGCAGGCTCCAGATGTTCTATTTTTGAAAGAGGTTGAAAAAATCTTAAAAACTGCAAGTGTAATTTTTTAAAGAATGCGAATGAACCTTGGCGTTTTGTTTATGGAAGAGTTGGAAAGTCTTTTAAAGGCTCCTGATCCCTCTTCATTTAAAGATTTTGGAACAATCTTGAGGAATCCTGCTGTTTTTTAAGGGTTCGAAATAATCTTATGGTTCCTAGTGTCTTCTTTTTTTTTTTTCAAGAATATGGACGAATTTTGGGAGTTCCTGCTGTTTTGTTTTCGAAATTTAAAAGAACTTGAACGTTCCTAACGTTCTTTTTTGGAAAGAGTTTGAAAGAACCTTAGGATTTACAAGTGTTTTGTTTGAAAGCCTTTTAAGAGCCCCATAGTTGCTATTTATTTAAAGAGTGTGAAGGAATTTTGAGAATTCCTGGTGTTGTGTTGTTGAAAGAGTTTGAACGAATCTTTAGGGCTTCTTACATTTTGTTTTTTAAAAAAATTGAAAGATTTTGAGGGCTGCTGATATTTTTTTTAAAGAGATAAATAGATTCTGAATGTCCCCAAATGTAATTCGTTTAAAGAATGTGAAGGAATCTTAGGGACCGCAGATGTTTTCTTTTTAATTGACTTTGAAAGAATCTTAAAATCTACAAGTGTCTTCTTTTAAACAATGCAAATGAACCTTACGAGCCCTTGACGTTTTCTTTTTGCAAAAGTTCCAAGGTCTTTAAGGGCCTCTGGTGTGCCTTTATTTAAAGATTTTGAAGCAATCTTGAGAGATCCTGCTGTTTTTTAAGGGTTCGAAAGAATCTTATGATTCCTTAGTGTCTTCTTCTTTATTTTTAAAGAATATGGATGAATTTTGGGAGTCCGTGCTCTTTTGTTTTCGAAATTTAAAAGAACTTGCAGGTTCCTAACGTTCTGTTTTTGAAAGAGTTTGAAAGAAACTTAGGATTTACAAGTGTTTTGTTTGAAAGTCTTTTAAGAGCCACATAGTTGCTATTTATTTAAAGAGTGTGAAGGAATCTTGAGAATTCCTGGTGTTGTGTTTTTGAAAGAATTTGAATGAATCTTTAGGGCTTCTTAGATTTTGTTTTGTAAAAAAATTGAAAGATTTTGAGGGCTGCTGATATTTTTTTAAGGAGTTAAACAGAATCTCAATGTCTCCAGATGTCATTCTTTTAAAGAATATGAAGGAATCTTAGGGACCGCAGGTGTTTTCTTTTTAATTGAGTTTGAAAGAATCTTAGAATCCACAAGTGTCTTCTTTTAAACAATGCAAATAAACCTTACGAACCCTTGACATTTTGTTTTTGCAAAAGTTCCAAGGTCTTTAAGAGCCTCTGGTGTGACTTTATTTAAAGATTTTAAAGCAATCTTCAGAGATCCTGCTGTTTTTTAAGGGTTCGAAAGAATCTTATGATTCCTTAGTGTTTTCTTTTTTATTTTTAAAAAATATGGATGAATTTTGGGAGTACTTGCTCTTTTGTTTTAGAAATTTAAAAGAACTTGCAGGTTCCTAACGTTCTGTTTTTGAAAGATTTTGAAAGAAACTTATGATTTACTAGTGTTTTGTTTGAAAGTCTTTTAAGAGCCCCATAGTTGCTATTTATTTAAAGAGTGTGAAGGAATCTTGAGAATTCCTGGTGTTGTGTTTTTGAAAGAGTTTGAACGAATCTTTAGGGCTTCTTACATTTTGTTTAAAAAAAAAATTGAAAGATTTTGAGGGCTGCTGATATTTTTTTTAAGAGTTTAACAGAATCTCAATGTCTCCAGATGTCATTCTTTTAAAGAATATGAAGGAATCTTAGGGACCGCAGGTGTTTTCTTTTTAATTGAGTTTAAAAGAATTTCAGAATCTACAAGTATCTTCTTTTAAACAATGCAAATGAACCTTTCGAACCCTTGACGTTTTTTTTTTTTGCAAAAGTTCCAAGGTCTTTAAGGACCCCTGGTGTGCCTTTATTTAAAGATTTTGAAGTAATCTTGAGAGATCCTGCTGTTTTTTAAGGGTTCGAAAGAATCTTATGATTCCTTAGTGTCTTCTGTCTTTTTTTTTTAAGAATATGGACGAATTTTGGAAGCTCCTGCTCTTTTGTTTTCGAAATTTAAAAAAACTTGGAGGTTCCTAACGTTCAGTTTTTGAAAGATTTTGAAAGAAACTTAGGATTTACTAGTGTTTTGTTTGAAAGTCTTTTAAGAGCCACATAGTTGCTATTTATTTAAAGAGTATGAAGGAATCTTGAGAATTCCTGGTGTTGTGTTATTGAAAGAGTTTGAACGAATCTTTAGGGTTCCTTACATTTTGTTTTTTATAAAAAATGAAAGATTTTTGGGAGCAGCTGATATATTTTTTTTTTAAGAATTAAATAGAATCTCAATGTCCCAAAATGTCATTCTTTTAAAGAATATGAAGGAATCTTAGGGATCGCAGGTGTTTTCTTTTTATCGAGTTTGAAAGAATCTTAGAATCTACAAGTGTGTTCTTTTAAAGAATGCAAATGAACCTTAGGAACCTTTGGCGTTCTGTTTTTTAAAGAGTTTGAAAGTCTTCAAGGGCCGCTGGTGTGTCTTTATTTAAATATTTTGAAGCAATCTCATGGTTCCCTTTTGCCTTTTTTTTAAAGGATATGGAAGAATCTTGGGAACTTGGAATTTTGCTTTTGGGAGTATCTGAAAGATTCTAAGGAGTTTCTAGTACCTTTTTTTAAGGAACATAAAAGAATCTTTAGAGCCTCGGACATTTTGTGACATAGTATTAATACAACATCCTTTATTTGAAAGAGTTGGATACAATCTTAGAATCTCCAAATGTCATTTTTTTACGGAATATTGGAGGATTCTGCTATTTTGTTTTTGCAAGCATTTAAAAAGACCTTGGGGGTCTTTATGTGGAACAAAACATTTTTCGGTTAAACAAAGATTTTTTCTAGTAACATGAAACAAAGAACAAAGTAATGATAAATTTAAAATTAGAAAATTTGCATCTGAATCTTTTACTTTAACACAGAGTAATTACTTTTCGTTTTTTCATTTGTCTTTTCAAGCAAAATGTGGTAATTTTTTTTTGAAAAGTCAAATGTGGCATGGAAACAGATTGTTAAGATTAGTTAGTATCAAAACTAGTTGACAACAAAGATAATAAATAATATCTTATCTGGTGACGTAATGTTTTTTAACTACAACACACATACAATGACTCTGTTTTATTCTATGATGTTTTGTCTAAGTTGCCATGTTGCCGGTTTGCAGAACAGGCAAGACGATTTGCTTTGGAACGTCGATTTTTTGGATAATCAAACTAACAGTATTTTGTAGTTTTGTAATTTCAACCTGATTCTGAGAGGTAACAACATCGTAGTTGGAAGTGACACTGTAAAAATAACTGTGTGTAGTAGTAAAGAGCGGGAAATTGGGCAACATGGCCCTAGCGTTACGTCATATTTATATACTGAACGACTTTATAAAGCTATCGCTTTGATATAACCTTATCGTAATTAAATTAAAAGAAATTTAGTCGTACCAAATATATATTTTGTAACAAAGGATGAGCAAAACCTTGCACACACTATTTAAGCACAGTGTATAGTGGGTTGCCTACACAACATTTATTTTTTTTTGTTTGTAATACTGTAACTTAACACACACAATGAATCTTCCTGTATTAATTCTTTCTAAAGTGTCCAATTTTTACCCAAAAATCTTTGTTCTGTTTCTATTAATTCCTCAAATCAAAATTTTGTTATTTTTCTTGCCGCATTTAAGCAAGTTGGCTGTGAAGCAGCGCCCTCTCGTATCGCAAAATTGGTTTGTGTGGAAGTGTTGCGTGCGGTTTAAATATCTTCTAAACTGCTTATTTTTAAATAAAATTAAGGAAATTATCCATTAGAGTAAGCAAAATAAACGTTTAAATAGAATAAATGCTGGTAGCTCTCATTTTTAGGTTTTCTTGGTAGAGTTCGCTTCTTCGGATCTTCGGTCTACTCCTGCTAAGGTAAGCCTAGGTTTAGTTAATTAGTGAAAAACGTACGACCCTTCCACATATTTTATTGAAACAACTTAAAATAATAACATTAATAAATATGTCCCATCTATAAAATATAACATCTTGTTATTGTCTTGACTGAAAATGCCCGATGGGTGTGAAATGGTCACCCATGTCGCTGCAGTGCAGGGTGAAGCAGCTAAGAAAGTGACTTTCGATAAGATTAACCAGAATTCAATCTACTCAAGTTTGATCCTTTCAATTCCTGAACTGAAGGAGTCTTAGCTGATCAGCCTGGATCTTAATGAACTAAATTAGAGATCCGAAAGGAAGTGGTTACGACTAACATAATATACTGGCCCCTATTACTGGCATTACATATAACTTAGAAATATACAGTATAGAATAAATGTGGGACGCGGGGCGAATTTTGAGTTATTTACAAAATATAAATTATAGCCCCGCCCTTACATATACAAAATATATGATTTACTTAAACTTAACAAAGCCAACTAACTATAATTGCACTTATGTAGGGATTGTCTCAGCTACCGCAGGGCTCGTCAGCGCCCTGCTTTGCATTCGGAAGACTTAAACTATTCTGACCTTTACTACTGGCACATCGTTCCGATTACTGTGTTTCTTACAAACTAGAAATTAGGAATGTTGGCAATTTTAATCTCACACCAGCTTGAGTTTCGTATTTACAAATGTACATCAATTAAATAATTTTATTTACAATTACGTGATTGACGTTTCGGAAATGGTGTCGGCAGCATCAGAGTTCACGATACGTCAGCACCGAGAGTTAGCACCAATTTGTTCTGTTTTTGTACGGGTCTGAGCTGTGTGATAGACGGTTTAGCCTAGCTTCAATTTTTCTAATGAGTGTAAATTCGCTATTAGTGTCTTTTCATATGGAGGGAGAGGTGGTCGGATCGGCTGAAGGAGCGCTGGCATTGGCTGCAACTGAAGGGTTTTTGGCCTGTGTGCTTGCGGAAGTGTCGGGTTAGTTCGTCGGAGCGGGCGAACTTCCAGGTGCAGCCGTCCCATGAACACTGGTACGGTTTTTCCCCTAAAACACAAGAGACAAAATTAGATCATCATCGATTTTTCATAAATTATAAACTTGCTTAACTTAATTTTAAACTTATACTTTCTTTCGTGAGGGTAAAATCCGAAGGGACTGAATTTCGATTAAAGTTTGACATGTTTTATTAAACTTTAAAATTTTTAAAATATTTGGTATTTTAGACCTTTGAAAATTTGAAAAAAAAAACATAATTTAATACTATATTTTTTCTAAATTTTTTATTATGGAGAATATCAGATTTTGGTCATCACCATATTATTTCACCTTATTTCTTACTCTTGTATTACGACATTTAACATTTTCGATGGTTTTGTTTTGGGTTCTTTAAAACCATTACAGATTTTACGGTTTTTAAAATTTTATTTCACTCTCAAAATTTTGAAATTTTGGCTTAGAATTTTGAAATGACAATGTGAAGGTATTTTGTATTTAAAAAAATTATATTTCAAACTGACGTATAGATTGAAGATTTAATTGTAAATAAGCAAATTTTAGTTAGTTTAAAATAGGTGTCCCGTTTACCTCTGTATCTCGTCTGTATCGATATTTACTAGACAGATAATCACCTGGACTGATTGTTATGAAATTTTAGACAGTAAAATACTAACCAAAATTTGTCTAATCACTCCCACCAACAATTTGATGACGTCATCTGAAAATTTTGCGAGGTAGATGTTATTTAATTTATAAAATAACATATCATGTCTTTGTGGTTCATACATCTGCCTTGGTTTTTTACATGTATAGTTCGATCTAATAATTCAGAACTATAGAACTTAAATCCAACAATTTAAAAACTTATAATTCAGAATTTTACAATTTAGAATTTTGGACTTTAGAATCTTAGAATTTGAAACTGTATTTTTTTTAATTCCATGAATTTCTTTGAAAATGCAATATCTTTAAGAGCTTAAAATTCAGGACTATAGAACTTAAAGCTAACAATTTAGAAACTTCTAATTCAAATTTTAGAATTTAGAATCTTGCAATTTAGAACAACGGGCATTTAGAATCTTGGAACTAGGAATCTTAGAATTTAAACTCTTGGAATGTAAAATCTGTAAAAAAAATTAGAACCTTAGAATTTACGATCTTAGAATTTGAAAATCTAAAATTTAGAGCTTGAAATTAAGTACTAAGGATTTTGTATCATTGAACTCAAAAATCTGAGATTTAGAATTTAAGATGTATTTTCTTTAAGTTAATGCATTTTTCCTGAAACGCAATATTTTTAAAAGTTTAAAATTCAGGATCTCATAATTCAGAACTATAGAACTTAATTAAATCCAACAATTTAGAACCTTATAATTTAGAATTTTAGAATTTAGAAATTTGGAATTTAGAATTTTGGATTGTAGAATTTTGAAATAAAGAATTCTGGATTTTAGAATCTTGGAATTCCGAATCTTGGAATCTAGAATTTAGTTTCCTTGGATTAGAATTTACAATCTTGGAATTTGAAAAATCTAAACTCTAGAGGTTAAAAATAAGTATTAAGAATTTTGGATCATCGAATTCAAGAATTTGAGAATTTAGAATTGAAAATGTATTTTTTTGAATTCATGAATTTTCTTTTGGTTCTTTTTAAAAGCTTAAAATTCAGGATTTAATTATTCAGAATTATAGAACTTAAATTCAACAATTTAGAACCTCATAACTCAGAATTTTAGAATTTAGAATTTTGAAATATAAAATGGGTGAAATCGGCATCGTGAAATTTAGAATCCTGGATTGTAGAATTTTCAAATAAAGAATTCTGGAATTCAGAATCTTGGATTAGAATTTACAGTCTTAGAATTTGATAATTTCAAATCTAGAGGTTAAAAGTAAGTACTAAGAACTTTGGATCATCGAATTCAAGAACATGAAATTTAGAATTGAAGATGTTTTTACATCGTTTCCTGTGTTTTTTAATTTCTTTTTTTGATATTTTGAAGCATCTCTGAAGAAAAAGTGAAAAGTCGTTAAACCTTGGGTTTCCTGGTGTTTTATTCTTGAAAGTGCTTGAAAGACTTTTAAGAGTTCCTCATATGCTTTTTTAAGGAATATAGTAGAATGTTTAGGGACCTGTACATTTTGTATTTGAAGAATATGAAGAGCCTTCCTGGTCTATTTTTCTGTTTTTGAAAGAATCGGAAAGAATCTTACGGTTCCAAGTGTCTTTTTTTCAAAGAATTTGAAAGAATTTTCGGAGCTTCTCCTCTCTTGTTTTTGAAAGAATCTTAAAATTTATTAGTGTCTATTATTTTAAAGAATGTGAAAACATCTTAGTTTTTATTTACAACAATTTGAAAGTCTTTTAAGGGTCCTTAGTGTCTCATTATTTAAAGAGTGTGAAGGAATTTTGAAGATTCCTTGTATTTTGTTCTTGAAACTGCCTGAAAAGCTCTTAGGAACCACCAGTATCCATTTTTTAAGGAATGTAAAAGAATGTTTGAAGACCCGCATATTTTGATTTTTAAAGAATTTGAAAAGATCTTGCTTCTGATGTATTTTTGGTTTTTGAAGAATCGGAAAGAATCTTAGGATTCCCAAGTGTGTTTTTTTCAAAGAGTGTGAAAGAATTTTCCGGGCTTATGTGCCTTGTTTTTGAAAGAATTCGATACGATCTTGAGACCTCTGGTGTTTTGTTCTTGAGAAAATTTGAAAAGATCTTGGAGGCCCTTGATGTTTTGTTTTTGATAGAATTGGATAGAATTTTAGGATCTACTAGTGTCCTATATTCTAAAGAATGTGAAAAAACCTTAGAGACCCTGATCTTTTTAGAAAGAGTTTGAAAGTCTTTTAAGGGTCTGTAGTGTCTTTTTATTTAAACAGTGTGAAGGAATCTTGAGGATTCCTTGTGTTTTGTTCTTGAAAGTGTCTGAAAGACCCTTAGGAACCACCAGTATCCTTTTTTAAGGAATATAAAACAATGTTTGGAGACCCGAATATTTTGTTTTTTAAAGAATTTGAAAAGATCTTGGGAGCTCCTGATGTACCTATATTTTTTGTCTATGAAGAATCTGATGAATCTTAGGATTCCCAAGTGTTTTTTTTTTCAAAGAGTGTGAAAGAATTTTCCGGGCTTATGCGTCTTGTTTTTGAAAAAATTTGATACGATTTTGAGGCCTCTGGTGTTTTGTTCTTGAGAGAATTTGAAAAGATCTTGGAGGCCCGTGATGTTTTATTTTTGATAGAATTGGATAGAATTTTAAGATCTACTAGTGTCTTTTATTTTAAAGATTGTGAAAAAACCTTAGGGACCCTGACCCTCTTTTTAGAAAGAGTTTGAAAGTCTTTTAGGGGTCTGTAGTGTCTTTTTATTTAAAGAGTGTGAAGGAATCTTGAGGATTCCTTGTGTTTTGTTCTTGAAAGTGCCTGAAAGACTCTTAGGAACCACCAGTATCATTTTTTAAGGACTGTAAAAGAATGTTTGGCTGCTCGCACATTTTGTTTTTTAAAGAATTTGAAAAGATCTTTAGGGATACTGATGTATTTTTTTTTGTTTTTGAAGAATCGGAAAGAATCTTAGGACTCCTCAGTGTCTTTTTTTCAAAAGTTTGGAAAAAATTTCCGGGCTTATGTCTTGTTTTTGAAAAAATTTGATACGATCTTGAGGCTTTTGCTATTTTATTCTTGAGAAAATTTGAAAAGACATTGCAGGCTTCTGATCTTTCGTTTTTAACAGAATTGAAATCATCTTAGGGACCCCGGTCTTTTTTTTATGGAAAGAGTTTGAAAGTCTTTTAAGGGCCCGTAGTGTCTTTTATTTAAAGAGTGTGAAGGAATCTTGAGGATTCTTTATGTTTTGTTCTTGAAAGTTCCTGAAAGACTCTTAGGAACCACCAGTATATTTTTTTAAGGAATATAAAACAATCTTTGGAGACTCGAACATTTTGATTTTTAAAGAATTTGAAAAGATCTTGGGGGCTCCTGATGCACTTTTTTGCTTTTGAAGAATCGGAAGGAATCTTAGGATTCCCAAGTGTTTTTTTCTAAGAATCTAAATTAATTTTCCGGGCTTATGTGTCTTGTTTTTGAAAGAATTTGTTACGATCTTGAAGCCTCTGGTATTTTGTTCTTGAGAAAATTTGAAAAGATCTTGGAGGCCCCTGATGTTTTGTTTTTGATAGATTTGTATAGGATCTTAGGATCTACTAGTGTCTTTTATTTTAAAGAATGTGAAAAATCTTAGGGCCCTTGTCTTTTTTTTTAGAAATAATTTTCCGGGATAATGTGTCTTTTTTTTTAAGAATTCGATACGGTCTTGATGTAGGTATATGGTATTTTGTTCTTGAGAAATTTTGAAAAGATTTTGGAGGCCCCTGATGTTTTGGTTTTGACAGTATCCGATAGAATTTTAGGATCTACTAGTGTTTTTTTAAAGAATGTAAAAAAATCTTAGGGATCCTGGTCTTTTTTTAAAAAACGGTTTGAAAGTCTTAAGGGTCCGTAGTGTCTTTTTATTCAAAGAGTGTGAAGGAATCTTGAAGAATCTTAGGATCAACTACTTAGTGTCTTTGATTTTAAAGAATGTGAAAAAAATCTTAGGGACCCCTCTTTTTTTTTTAGAAAGAGTTTGAAGGTTTTTTAAGGGTCCGTAGTGTCTTTTTACTTAAAGAGTGTGAAGGAATCTTGAGGAGTCGTTGTGTTTTGTTCTTGAAAGTGCCTGAAAGACTCTCATAAACCGCCAGTATCATTCTTTAAGGAATGTAAAAGAATGTTCGCAGGCCCACACATTTTGTTTTTTAAAAAATTTGGGGGCTCCTGATGTATTTTTTTGTGCTTTTGAAGAATTGGAAAGAATCTTAGGATTTCGAATTGTCTTTTTTCCAAAGAGTGTGAAAAAATATTCCGGGCTTATGTGTTTGTTCGTGACAACATTCGAAAAGATCTTAGAGGCCCCTAATGTTTTGTTTTTGACAGAATTGAAACAATCTTAGGGACCCTGGTATTTTTTTTTCAATGAGTTTGAAAGTCTTTTAAGGGTCCTTGGTGTT